ACCAAATACATCCATTATGAGAATGAAATGCTTTTTGACACCATCAAAAGCATGGTTCTAAAGATTGGATCCAATCGGCTTGTCGTCATTTACGTGTTCGGGCTAACAAATGTGCCGCAAAATCAACAATTGGGCTCTGTTGGGCCTAAACGTGTCCTTTCCTATTTTATTTAGAGAAATTTAAATACATACAACACAATTCTTCAGGCTTCATGCTTCAGGCCCCCTGTCAAGAGCGGGGGTTCCAGACGAAACTAATGAAGAAATTTGAATCACTCCGATTGAATGGTCCGTATATATTCCCTCGGACAGAATACATTTGATGAGCATTTGAGTGTCTTAACGACGTCAGAGTTAAATGATTTTAGACTCTATGAACATTTGAGTGTCTTAATGATGTCGGAATTAAATTATTTTAGACTCCTTGGATTCACCTTGTGAAGACGCTCGATTCAATTGTAAGCTTTCTAGATTCGACATCCGTTTGATCTTCTAAATATGCCCAAAAAGTTTCTAAAAGAGGTCTAAAGGCCTTAATGAGGGCTTGATTTGGTTTGATTGGATCAATTTTGACATCAAAGCTTTGAATGACTTTTAATTGACGTTTGGGTCTCGGGATCTCTGTCATTCCTCAAGATTCATGTTAGATTATATATATATATATATAAACACTAATATTTTTAAGTTTTAATAGTCATAATTATTTGTCCACAAAAAAAATTATTATTATTCTACTTTTTTTTTGTTTGGTTTCCAAAAGGGGGACGTCATTTGTATGATTAGAATGAGAGGTCGCTATATTAAATGTTAAGAAAATAAAAATCAATTTCTTATGACTTAAGAATGTATTTACAACAGAAGAAGCAAAATGAGGCTACGAAAACAATGTTAACTTTTATTTTATTGAAGATTTATTTTTACCTTTTTTTTATTTTTTCTTAAGTTTAAGTAAGATGTTATATATGATGAATGTTTTATTATCCTTATAATGTTATGGTGTAGGCTAAATGAGGAAAATTTTAGGATACTTTTGCTACTTTTTATTTTTTTTCACTGTTGGCCGTTAGTTTTCTATTTTTAACAGATTTCATTTGTGTAGTCATAATGTCATTCATAAAACATAATATAAGAGATTAATTTTGAATGCTAATTATTTTATTAAATCATCATTTTCTCTTTTTGGCTAGCATGTTGACAACTGTTGTACACACATGTTGAATCCAAATCTGTCCAGTGAACCTTGTTATTTCATAAAACTTGATTTTACAAGTGTGGGGAAGCCAAAAAGGTTTCTTAATGCATCATAAAACCCTCTCATTTCAGTCCCTTTATCCTAGACCGTAAGATTTACCTCGAGATCTATGCAGATCATTTTTTTAGTATACAACACAAGTTTTAGTTAGAGGAGCATCGATTTTGCTCATCTACAAACCTGTATCAAGTTATTCAAGCTGAGTTTGGATTAGCACTAGCAAGGTTAGGCTTGACTTTGTTTAGCTGTCAAACCTAGTCAACACTCGGTTGATTAAGTGTTTTACTTTGTTTGTTCGTCAAACTTAGCCAACACTTCTTTGATGGGTATAATACACACACTTGAGAATGATTTTATATATCCCAGGCCATCTTAGATGTTACTTAGATTGGACATTTTCATTTCCTCTAATTTAGCTTAAATTTAGTTTATTAAAATTTAATATTATTCAAGTTGATTTCTTACCTTTCTCTTAGTAGATATAATTCGTGATCTCCTTCTGTCAATTTGATATCATAGAGTTGTTAGTCTGGGCGAAGTCGCCCTTTTAGCACCCATCATTCACAACCTCCTCACATTGGATGGACATCCTAGAGTCATTAGCATAGGCCGTCTTCTAGACAGCTGCATCCTGAAACTCAATCCCATGTAAGTTGCATTCTCAACCCATTGTAATCAACTCGACATCTTAGAGTTGTCGACCTGACTTCCTACACATCAACCTTTTCTTAGGTCTCAATCCCGTCGGTATTGCCTCTTTCAATCTTGCTTTCTCATCATCTAGCTGTAAACTTGATCCATTCAATCTTGCCTTCTCATCCTCTAGGAGGTGTAATGTGCGAATGGATCGAGCAAAATTTGTCAAATGCCTCCTCTTGATTATGAATGCAATTAGAATGGATTCTTCTCAATCAAACCTTAGGCCACCAACTTGCAAAAAAAATTAAATATTATCCTAATAAGAAAGGAGCACCCTCAATTATCATACATTTTCTCCCTATGTTCTTCTACACCATTGAAAAGAGGCATAAAGACATAGATAAGGATTGGTATTGTTACTATCTTCCTTGGCAACCTTAGCTCAAGTGAATTTTCATCCTCTTGAGTCATCGACTCCACCCAATTCCTACACTCATCAAGTCGAGCCCGTTGCATCTTTTTTAATGCATCCATCCTTCTCCTTTGTTTGCTTGAAGCCATTTGATCCAAGAATATAACCACATGTCCATAAACTTTCATAGAACTAATTAGACTGTAAATACATTTCCTCCGCCACTTATTCATTGTCCTCTCATGAGTGTTTATAACCTCCACCACCACTATCATCATTAAGTCATTCACTCTTAGCCATTCCTCAAACCAAACCTAAAATTTCCTCATCGGAACACTCGCAAATACACCTCGATTTCTAAATTAGGAAGCTATAGAGGGATTTACTTAACAATCTCAACTTTTCAATTTATCATTAGGGTAACTCAATTTATAAGTTACTGATAATTTAATATCTTAATTATCACATCACCATCTCATTAATTACATTGGATACCAACTAAATTATTAGTTTTGTCCATCATGTTGTCATCGCCATCTAAACACCATGACCCCCCTCACCCTTGGAACTTGTTCATCTTAATCCTCATGATGAAATAATACCTTATAATTATGCATATCAACTCACCCAAAAACACATTAAAAGAGCATTAGATATTAACAAAATAACACTTCGTTAAACATATTTCTTATAAAAAACTAAAGCTATGTGCTAACTAATGAAATTTACAGAAGAAAACCAAAGACTTGGAGTCTACCAAGTCCTTCCATCAAAATGCCCACCTCCAGCTTCCTCCTAAACCCTAACAAATATTACTTTTCCTCCCTTCCAAGTTTCAATTTTGCTTCGTCATCCCCAAACTACAAATCTGGAACTAAACTAAGACACCAAAACAGATGAGAAAAAAATTCAACAAATGAAGTAAATGTCGCCATCAACACAATGGGAATGTGAAGAAAATAAAGGCTAAAAATCATAATTAATCTCTACTTGCAAGGTCGTCACATGACAAATTATCTAGAAGAAGGAACAATTTTACTCATGTCTTTATTCATAATATTATTCCACATATAACAAATTTAAATCTAATAATTTCTCCTCGTGAATAAAATGAAATTGAGGAAGCTTCCTCTTGCTTCACTTTTAAGACTTAAAAGGATGTATAAACGCGTAGCCTATTATCTTCTTGACTTGGAATACTTAATAAGTTAGGACAAATAACTAAATATTGTATACATCCTTATATTACAAGTATATATATATAAAGATAGATATATCCAACAATAATATATAGAATACTTATCTTTCTTTTCTTCTATGGAGGTCTCCTGCTCACTGCTGCTGCTGCTGCTGCTGCTGCTTTCTTCCTCCTCCAGGGTTCTGCAAGCAGAGGCCAGACTGCTCCCTTCTTCTGAACAAGAGAGTAAGCAGAAATTTATATAATAAATACTTGCATAAATATACATGATTAATTAGCTCAGATGGGTGCTTCAATTAAAGTTGGGGATTTAATTGCTGTAATTAATGATTGATGTTTTAATTTAAGGGTATGTGAAAGTGATGGAGTCGCTGGGAGTGATGTGCAGCTGCTGCGATGAGGGAGGAGATGGCTGCAGGAGGAGCTGGAGTTTCACCTGCACCAAGCTTCATTGCCATCCATTGAAATATTTGTAATTTATTTTATATCTGTTTCATTTTCCATTAGTTGTAGATTCCATGCAATATTATTAGATAATAGCATGTTGTAAGAAGAAAATTTAAAAAAAAAAATGGGATATTTGAGATAATCATGAAATACCATTGTATTTTTTGGCTACACAAGATAGAAATCTATAAATTAATCTGAAGTTTAGGAACTCAATGAATCTGTCGTGAGAGCTAATTACTTGTTTGGGATCAATATTCTTCATTATGTTTTTTTTTTTATTATTATTATTTTTTTTTGCTTTTATTTTAAAAATATTTATAGAGTGCATTTATTACATATTTTTATTTTAATTATAATTTTTATTTTCAAAAATAATTTAGTTTATTTTTAAAAACAGACAAGCCAAGGCTCTCAGAGCCCTGCATGTCTCCTCTTAACCCAAAGTAAAGGTCTTACACATTAAAATACTTCTTTATGTTACCATATTAAAAAATGAGATCCCTTAATATCTTATTCTCTTATTATTATAGAGCAAAATTTACATATCACACAATGCTTATATACTTTACATGTCTAATATAAAACCTTCCATATTTTTCTTTATCAAAGACTTTAATATCACAAACAAAATATATATATTAAAAGATATAAAAGATGTATTTTACCAATAAAACCTCATTACTCATGACAATTTTAGTGTGCCATTAGAAATTAATATATTATATAGGTCTATAATAAAATTTAATTATTAGATATATATAAATACATCTGATATTTATGTAAATCCCTCCATGACCACTTTCTTGAATTGCAAAAGCGCAGCATGATAATAAGCTACTACATGAAGATGCATACATAAGGCATGCTTGAAGTGAAGATCTGAAGCTCACTTGTAAAGCTCTTCCCTGTTCTAGAAAGGAGAATTTATTACATGCGGCGGCCGCAACTCCGGATGACAGTTCAAATGGGTCACTGTGAGTTTACAGTAGCATGACCACATCCAGACTGTCGTCCGATAATTTTTACTCATGAAGGATGCCAGTTCTAAATAAATCTAAAAGCACAAATGTAATTTTAAATAAAATCAGTCTGACAACGTATTTCATGGCAAATTTCTCCATCGCATTCATCATGAAACAAAAGGCAATTGCAACACATTCTATCGAACCAGTTGCCATAAATTTAAAAACATTCAGCTGACGCAAAGAGAGATGAGTGATTCCGGAGCAGAAAACGGTGAGAGAATTAGAACACAACCGTATCCAGCATTGTACCCAGCGTCTGGACTATATTGGAAGACATTAGATTGGACACATGCTCCTCCAAATGCTTCTTTGCGTCTTGCCTGCCCACATTGGCGATGGCCAATTTCTCCGGAGGCAGTTCATCCTCCTCTTGGACTGCTTTGTTATATTTTATAGCTAAGTTCAGCATCTCCTGCTCAATGCCACAGTAACAGGGGAAATTAAAATGGAAACTGTCTGTTATATTTGGGTTGAGAAGAAGAAGACAAAAGTCTAACAAGAATCCCATTGATGTAACTTACCTTCACCGTTTGCTCATTGGTTGTTGAATGGGCGTCAAATCGTCGCAACGTTAAGCCGTCTGTCCATTTCTTCTTATGCAGATTCAGAAGCATTTTTTCTTCGAGCTCGTTTTTCCGATAGTTGATGGCTATAGAGTAGTAGTGCCGGTTGAGGCCATGAATGAGAGCCTGAGAATCAATCAATGGAAAGGAGTTAGATTTGGATGATTAATGAGATGGAATGCATGAGAGGCAAATAAGACCTGGATGGAGGGTTTGTTGAGATGTCCCAGGTTGGAAGTGGTCTGGCGAGGCTCTTGGCCGAGCATCATGGTCTGTGGGTTGATCAAACGAAAAGCATCGATCACCACCTTCCCTTTAACACTCTGGATGGGGTCGACCACAACAGCAACGGCTCTAGGATTCAAGGCTTCAAAGCTCTGAATGAATAACATCATTCATTTACATCATGGGCCGATACGTGAACAGTTATAGAAATCTAGAAACGCAGCCTTAAGTAGGCAAATATTTCTCAAAATGACCTGCCTTAAGTAAACCAATCGAAGACCATCTGACAAACTCATGACACCATGAATCAAGCTAGCTGGAAGACTAATCCTAGTTAGACAGATTATGAAACCTACATGGTGTGATAAAAAAAAATCATTTAAAAACTACAACTTTTCCATGTTCCGGAATAGAGATGTAGGACAGTTAAAAGGACGAAGACTTCCAATACATAGATAGAATGATATGCAAGCTGAACCATAAAAAAATTGCACTTCATACGGCACATTTCATGATTTTAACCAAAAAACACGCCGCAATTTTATTACGATGAATTTGACATGCCTTGGGGGTTCTATTTATAAAACTCAAAATAAAAATACACAACCTATAGGAATAGACCCAAAAACAGTAGTGTTTCAATGTATCCAGAGTGCTCTGAGCATGTGCATGGAGGCGGTTTCGAACTATAGCAGCAAATACCAGTGGTCATAAACCAGTGAAAAGCCACCAACGGTGGAAAAACAAACCATAGAGGCATTAACGGCTGAGGCATTGAGAGAAAACCAGCTCAAAATGCAGCCAAAATGAGCGCAGAGAGAATGCATAGTTGTGGACAGTTGAGTAACAATGGAGAGACTTCTCAAAATAAAGAGAAGGCGTCTGTGCTGTATAGAAGCCAACAACATATGCATATTTTACATAGAATAACTAAACAACAAAGTGCAATAATAGAAATCATTATAACAAAGAAAACAAAGTGCAGATAAATCCTTTCAGTATAATGATAACTATGAAGCGATACACGCGGGCGCACACATTTTGAAATTTACATGCAATTTTTCCATTCCAATGGAATCTTTTAAAAGGTTCGGTTATTCTCACTAAATAAGACTAATTCAGTAGCAAAACAGCGCCTAACAATTGACATGAAAATCTATGATTGCTAAATGAGTTCAAATGTATGCTACAACGAAGCAAATCCACAACATATGACAAGCACACCTGCTGGGTGTTAATATCAACGCCAGAGAGCCAACAACCAAACCCAGGATGGGAATGGTACCACCCTACCACCATTTCAGGCCTGCAAAATGATGATAAATAAAAATTGTAGCCATATCTGAAGGTGGAAACAAGAGTTCGATAAATGAAATTTTAAGCATAAAATGTAAGTTTAAGGAATGCAGTGAGAAGAGAAGAAACATCAATAATTTTAAGAAAAAAAACAACTAAAGCTGAATTATACAGGTTGGTCGACTAATTAAAACGTTGAAATAAGTATATGCATGACATTAGCATTGTTCTTGATAAAAAAAACAAATAATGCTAAAATTCAATTGAAATGCCCGATATGATGCCTCAAACTATACAAGGAAATAATCAAAAAAGCAAATTGTGGTTGTATGAACCACCAAATTTCCAGGATTAAAAGAATAAACTAGAAAGAACCTAATCAAACTTCATTTCATCAATATGACCATGGCCAGCAGCCTAATTTTAACTTTAACAGTTTGAAGTTGTCTGCACAAATCTTACTCAATTCTTTCTACTAGTACACAATGGTGTTAACTACAAATAATATAAGCCAATTGTGCAAATTAAATCCATACTCATTCTGATAAAGGAATCAAATAAATAAATACATTAAGTGGGGTCCACCATAATTATTGTTTTTGTTCTCTTGTATTTGGTTTGTGTCTTGAGGTATATAAATGACCTCTCTGTTAAACTTGCTGGTAGCTTGGTTTAATCAATTAATGCTTTTCTTATTCCCCCTTAATTCTACTTCCGCTCCTTCACTGTCTTTCCACTCTTCTCGCTTTCTTCTCGTTTCATGGTATCAGAGCCTAATTAGGCATCGCCGCCATGGATGACTCCGGTATGCCCCAGATCCACGAAGGATTGACCACACTCAACATCGAAACTCAAATTCTTCCCTCGTTGAAGTTCTTGATGGCAAATCTGAAGTCGATGGTCAAATTTGCATTAACTGCTGGAGACCCCAAATGATCAAGATTATCAAGGCCAATGGGTTCTTGGGCTTTATTGATAACACTCCACCTGCTCCTGAGATTGTCGCCGAATCAGGTATTTGTTCGATAAACCAAGCCTACACCATCTGGACTTTGATCGATCAGAACTTTTAGCTGCTGGCCTATATTCCATTACGTCTGCTTTTATTTTGCCATATGTACTGAATTTAGACAGATTTTATGAAATCTGGACTGTTTTGGAGAAATGATTGCAGGCAACCAATCGTTCAAGGGTCATTCAATTAAAGAGTGAATTGTACAATGTGTCAATGCAAAATATGACTAAGTCAAAATATGATGCAAATCAAATCATTAGTGAACAACATATCTTTACATCTTGAAAGGTCTACCACCCTCTTATCAAGCATTCAAGACTGCTATAAGGACCCAACCGGCTCCTATCAGTCTTGAAAATCTGAATTCCCTCATATTCAGTGAGGAAATAAACATTTCCTTTGAGTCCAAATCTGAAAAGATTGAACCTGATTCTCAACTAGCTTTATATATGCACAAAGGGAAGGGCGGATTTTACAAGAACAAAGGAAGTAATGCAAATCAATCATGAAAAGTGGTCAAAATCCTTCAATTGTTCAGGCAAAGAAACCGGGATCCATCGCTTGTCAAATACGTAATAAACCTGGACACATAGCTCTGAATTGTTGGCATAGACTGCATGTAATTATCAAACCAAGAACTTAGCTGTTCCGGCACCCTCAAACACTCATATGGCTTACTCTCTGCCTCCAATCCATCGGTTAAAGTTGATTGGTTTCTTGATAAAGGAGGTACTTCACATTTGAGAGCTTCTTATAATCATTTGCAGTTACCTGAACTATATCAAGGACATGAGTGTGTGATGGTTGGCAATGGCAACACCATGTCCAATCAACATTCAAGAAACGACATTCTACCTACACTCAATCGTAAGCTAATTCTCTCCAAATTATTTCACCTCCTCAAATTTCACATAACTTATATCTATATCTCAGTTGGCTCGAGAAAATAATTGTATAATTATTTTTTATGCTAACAGATACCAAATAAAAGATCGAACTACCCATCAAATTCTTCTTCAGGGTCCGTGCACTAATTGATTGTATCGGATCTCCACTAACACTCAAGCACTTGCTATTGTCATTAATCCAGAACAATGGCATAAAAGGCTAGGGCATGCTAATGAACAAATTATGCAACTCATAGCCAAGCAACAATCAACCCTACATATTCCGATAGAGTTTTCTTTTGGCACAACTTGTACTACTGCAAAATGTCATCACATTCCGTTAGATAAATCTACTAGCACTCAATGTAATCCATTAGCTCTAATACATTCAGATGTATGGGGTCCATCCCCAACGGTTTCCAATCAAGGCCACAAATACTATGTGCTAGTTGTTGATGATTTTACCAGATATACCTGGCTTTATCCTATGATAAGCACATCTGAAATAAATCAACATTTTCTCAAATTCAACAAAGAAGTGAAACTTCAGTTCAACCAAAGGATAAAAATTGTCAGAACTGATAAAGGTGGGGAATACACTGGCCAAGAATTCATATATTTATTAGCAACTTATGAAATTATTCACCAAACAAGTTGTCCCGATATACCTCAGCAAAATGAAATTGCAGAAAGGAAGCGCCGACACATTATGGAAACAACTAGAGCCTTGTTGGCTGATTCTTCTATACCACCATCTATGTGGCTTGAGATAGTACTTACAACAACTTGATTGATCAACCGTTTACACTCCAAAGTTACAGCTCACAAGTCACCTTATCAACTTCTCTATGGTTCAATACCTGACTATGGTAATCTCAAATCATATGGGTGTCAATGCATCCCTTGGATACCTACAGTTAATAGAAGAAAACTTCAACAACAATCTCTAGCTTATGTATTTTTGGGTTATCCAACTCATGTATAAGGCTATAAATGCTTTTGACCCAACCACAGGTAAGATGACAGTCTCTAGACATGTTCTCTTCTAATCGTCTATCCTTACATACAAGTCATACAAATTGATTCTATTACTCCAAACTTCTCCAACTCTTCTCCACTAACTTTCTTACCCACATCTACTCTCCACCAACTCCAACCCAGTTACCCCTCTCGGGTTCAATACCACCCGACACCCAACCCAGACATACTTCCCGCAGCTAACCCAATCTCTCCTACAACTCATGATCACTTGCCTGCTACACCCGCCCTCAATCCAAATGTTTCATCCAAAATACATTCTGCTCCATTCAATCGCCTCCCAGACCTCCCTGGAAAACAATCCTGCACCGTTACACTTCCACCGTAACCTTCCACCACAGCATCATCCCATGGTCACAAGGTCTCAAATCGGTTCTTTACCTCCAAAAAATATCTTTACTCACTTACATGTTGCACCCACTGAAACTGAACGTAGAACATACAAGCAAGTAACTAAGCATCTTCACTAGAAGACAGCAATGGAAGAGAAACTTCATGCACTCCAAAAGCAAAACACTTGAAAACTAGTTCCCTCGCCTACTGATCATTATGTACTTGGCATAAAATGGACCTACATAATTAAAAGAAACACAAATGGATTTGTGGCTAGGTTCAAAGCACGAATACTTGCTTTGGGTTACCAACAAGAATATGGACTCAAGCACAAATACTTGCTTTGGGTTACTACACATATATGGCAAGTTCAACTTGTCCTTCAAAATATCCAAAAGATTTCAAAGTGCTCGGGTATGACCCTGGCCAAAATACCTACAATCAGACTACTACTTATTCTTACTCTTCATTATCAATGGAAAGTAGTTCAAATGGATGTATCTAACACTTTTCTTCATGTTCAGTTGCAGGAAACTGTCTACATGCATCAACCACCAAGCTATAAGGATCCCACATATCTCTCTTATGTCTGCCAATTACAGAAACCTATCTATGGCCTAAAACAGGTTCCCAGAAAATGAAATTACACATTTACCACCATCTTATTAATTTTGGGTTTCATGTTAGCAATGTTGGTCCATCTCTATGCATCTACCATCACAACTCTCACCGTCTTTATCTTTTACTATATGTAGATGATATACTCTTGACATGGAATAATGTAGACCTCATCTAGCAACTTCAGCATCAATTCCCAATGAAATTTCCGAACTCCGTAACTACCTTCTTGGGTATCAATATTTCCACTGCTTCGTATGGATATAATCTCAATCATACAAACTAACCTAAAGCTATACTAAATAAAGTGGGCATGAAAGATTGCAAGTCATTACCGAATCCCCAAACTGTCACCACCTAACCATCCACAGACTAATTTCTTGCAAATAGTTTCTTTACTTAAACATACTGTTCACAATATTAAAAAAAAAATACTCCCAAGGCACTCGATTTTAACCGTCATGCTAAACCTCTAAAAGCTATATACAAATCAATATCCATATTCTTTTGTATAATAAATCCAAGACACTTAAACTTTGCACACCCAAATATCACTTTATTTTGTATTATATTGATTAACAACTATTAATATCACATCCACTAAAATTGTAATATCAAACTAAAGCCTTTATTCCACAAATTCTAAGTATAAATAATTATTTTAACTTTCTACTTTTACTCACACATACCACATCAAATAGAACTATGTCAAACGTAACAAATGAACACCAATGCATATCAATTCAAGCATCATTTGCGGCTCTCTACACAACCAATACTGACAATTACGGCCTAAATATGACCTCAATATACTCTTGATGTACAATAAACTCTTTGGTCATTTTGAAACTGCTTCAAATACTAGTCAACATTCCATCACTCATATCTTTAATCACTTTACCATAACTTTGTACACAAAATTTCCATTAATGCAGACCAACTCAATTAGTGAAATACATCTTCACATGCCTTCTTAAGATCAATTAAAATACACACAATGACAATTTCTTTGCTCAACATTTTTTGTTGATTTTGTTAAGATAAAAATATCTTCCTTGACAAATCTTTTTAGAATGAAACCAATTGATTAATCAAAATTGCTGAAATTTTCTATGAATAACTAAATTTTTTGATTTTCTTAGAATAAGCATGATCTTAAATACCTACAATATCCTTAAATATTAGCACTAAAATACTTCATCTTCATCATTCAGCATCATCTTAATCTCCAATTTTTGTTGAAAATATCTTAAACAAACCATTATGACATCCCATATATCTCTCCAAATTTGCATAGGTATCTCTTTGAACCTAAAACCTCCAGTTTATGAATCTTCTTTTGATCTAACTTCTTTTTTTTTTATTGGTGGAGCAACCTATAAAATAGCTCATTATTTTGTTTACTACACACTTCTAGAATATTCATCCTGAAGACTCTTAATTATTTGGAAGTTTACATACATACCACGCAATTCTTATGTATTTACATTTCTAACACTTAAACTTCATATTTACACATATAACATTTTGATGTCATAAACCAATACATGAAAGGTGCATTTAATTTTAAGAAGTTAATAATGATGACATTTTTTATGTAATGTTAAAGTATTGAGTGTTATAATTATAACTATGAAAGTTTGGGTGTTATATATGTAATTACATAAGAATTGTGTGATATTTATTTAAATGCCCATTAATTATATTTCAAATTAGCATTTTTATTTTTCCTTGATAAACTAATTTTTTAAGTTAGATCGTATTATCTTTTATTCTAAGGCATCTAGCTTGATCGTCATCTCTAGACCTCCTAACTTTTGCCTTGGATGTTTTTCTCTCTTTCCTCCTCCCTTAATATTAAAGATATTGTATAAGTAATCAAAACTAATAGCCTTTGCTTTGCTAGCATTTCCTATTTATAAGAATACTGATTTTAATAATCATTTATCCATCGATAGTATCTAACTTTTTTCATTCTTTAAAACACATTTCTTTTATTTAATAACCTTTTACACCACCTTGCTCTATTAAGTAGTAGCAACTATCATTACTAAAATATGATTCATTTAAAAAATAACCAAAAACTTCTCTACCGTTCTTAAAATATGATTCATTTAAAAAATAACCAAAAACTTCTCTACCGTTCTTCTTGATATTGTAAGCTACATTACAATTGGCTCAGTTAAATAATTCCAATTTACCACTCCTAACAACATATCATAAGAGCAATTTTTCATCTTTCAAATTTAACCAACTCATCTTAGAGAAATTATTTCTTCTGATCACTTTTTATAATCTGAAGACTTGCAGCAATAATACTACTCGGTTTTTCATGGTAAAACTCTTTTTTGAAATCATCTTTCAAATATGTTATAAATAAAAAGAATGTTAATTTCTTCATCTCATAAATGAAAAAATAGGTACTCTATTAGTTGCAAAATACCTTTTAGGGATAACTAGTCACCCAAAAAAGAAGAGCTTCTTGTTTCTTTTTCTTGTCATCAGAGAAAAATATGTATTCTAGTTAAAGACTCGAGATGTTGCAGGAATGAATGTTCATTAGCAGTGCTCATGACCAAATTGAACTGCTATGAATCGATACATATCAAGATGATGTATGAGTGTAATGATACCTTCAAAAAGTAGTTATTGGATTAGTGATATCTTCGCAAACCTCTTTGTTGAGCTTATAAATGTATGCCATTAGGACCTAATTCAAGACCACGAATACAACATATGCTTTTGACCACAAGTCCAAACCTCACGTCTAATTAAACTATTACCATCCAAGCAATTTTGAATATTTGCAAAGCACACCAATAGCAAATGCAAAAGCTAATGGAACTTGATCTCAAGAGAAAAAAAAATGTAGAGAAACTTAATTACCTCAAGAATGGAACGTAAGAATTTGAACTTTTCGTTCTCCGTATGCACTCAACGAGCTACTTCCTTGTCCAGCTTGAATTTCCTAATCTCTTTACCACAATATCACTTCTATTTGTAGCATTTTTTTTTCTAATGCTACCTGTAGCACAATCTAATTATTCGGTCCAACGAATATCACAGTACACTTCTACATATGACAACTGTTTCTACCAGAAAGTCTTCTTCATTATGGCATCTTTCTAACAGTAAGAGCTCAGCTATAAATAATGAAACATAATCTAATAACTTTCCAGAAGAAAATATCATGAGGCCCGACAAGAGATAAGATGGTGGAGCTCTTTCTTGAACATTGTTTATACGTCATTCAGCTCCATAGCAACTTTTCCAAAAGGAGCTAAATCTTCCAACTAGCATCAATCCTATGTCTTCCATGGTGCATTTTAATCATATCTCCAAGTGACAAGATCAATGATAATAATGATATTGACAATATTAATAACACAAATTACAATAAGAATGTTGAAAAAACAAAATTGAAGTGCATGAAAGCCTAAATGAAAAAACTGGCCTCTTTCCAAGACTATTTTAATATCAAATGGACTTGATTCGAGTACGATTGCAACCAGTTTCTAGCAAGACTCCAAGGACGCACCGCCAATGGCATACAAGCTTTCTTAGGGATCCACCGCAGATGGACTATGGTATAAAGTTTTTCTTTTACCCATGCAAGTTCATCTAAATTTATAATTTTGCATTGCGGACAGAATATAAAATACAGGGAGGAGATGAACCGAGAATGTTTGGGGATCCAAAAAACGAGCAATGATGGCAAGGGCTTAAAACCTTCCGGTCTGCTTCAGCATATCGAGCATGTTGGTCTGGAAGACGTGATCGACGGCCTCAACACTGACTCCAGTGCCGCTCTGAGGCATGGCGAAGACATCGACCACTCGAACGGTATATTCATCCACGAATTCTCCGAGCATAAGCCCCATCACCTCCATGGGCACACCCGCCCTGCCTACAATAATTAAACACGTAGGAAAAATTAGATCCACAGATAAATCCCAGATCCTACCAATCAATGCTTGGCAGATGAACTAAATCGTCTTACCATGCTTAAGCATCTTGAGAAGAGCAAGCGATGAGATGTAGACCTGCTCGGATGAGTCGAGGAGAGGAGAATCGGACGGCGGGTGGCCCATCCCTCCGGCCCCAGAGAATATCCGGTGAAGCCTCTCCATTATAAGGGACTATTTGGTCGCCGGTTTTGAGCAGGATCTGCACAGGATTTATGCTGAATTCTGTCAAACGGCAAAAGCGAAATACCGTTGGAAGACGGATTTGAGGGATTTAGATAAGCAAAAGCGGGAGGGAAGGAGGAGAAAGATGGAAGTTTTGGAGGTTTTTGTTGCGATCCCGTCGCCTGTCAGCTCTAACAGGGACTTGTATGGCGAGCGCTCGTTTACAAAGGCGATGGTTTTGGGCTAAATCGGTAGACGGGGAGGACGTCGGGAAGGGTTCCGAGCGGGAGAGAATGGAAAGGGAAAGATGATTTGGGGACTTCAATTTGATTTTATTTAAGTTAATTAATTTGATTAATAATTAATCATTAATTAATATGTTTTCAATTTAATTATAACTAAATAAATTCAGATATAGTTGTTTAATTATTAATTAATAAAAAATTTAGATATTAAATTTATTTATTTTAATAAAATTATAATAATTATCTATTGTTTTAATAAATAACTAATAAATTATTAATTAATGACTTTAAATTATTATTTAATATAACTAATTTACTAAATTTCTTTTTAATGATTAGTTAGTTGACTAAATATTTAATTTTTCATTATCATAATTATGAATAAAAATTTAAATTAAATTTAACTAGACTTAATAACTATATAACAAATATGCAAAATTATGCTTTTTAACTCTTAAAAAGACATTTGAAAATCATATGATAGTTTCTGAAGCAAGTTTCTATACTGAGGAATTTGTGCTTTTGAGAGGGGCATATTACTATGTCTGACCATGAAATTTGTGCTTTTGAGAGTGGGCTTGACTATGAAAAAATTAAAATTTTGGTGACCCAAGCAAGCTTTTACTTAGTCAAACCCGAATAAACCTGATTAGCGCCAAGCCCGACCAGCTCATTGGTCCGGTCTCATAAATATATTTCGCAATTGCAAGCTTTTGAGGTTACTCATCCTTTCTCTTCTTTCTCCAGCCATAAATTTAGATTTTTATATTAATACCAACGAAATTTTTTATATCACATAAAAATTATCATTTTAATTTTTTTTTAAAATGAAATACGTCGTTCATGCATATATAAGATGGAAAAATGTAAAAATTGAAATTCAAGTGTTAGATATGTAATTAAATAAAAATTAATGAGCAGTATGTATATAAATATTTTTCTTGCGGTATTTTAATCAACTCCTTTGTATTTAGATATTAAGATGTTCTCAATTTAAGTTCTTACGTATTTCATATGCTGCAGACATTTGATATTAAATTTACTTAAACATATAAGAAAATTTTGTACATATAAAATCAATTTAAAACTCTTGCCGCACAACCTTTCGTGTTTCAAACGGTCATATTATATTTTTTTAAATATTTTAAATCAACAACATGATTTGAGAAAAATATATTACAAATTTTATAGCTTTTTTTATTTTTTTGGTATAAAAAATCACTTTTCTTTTTTATATGTGTCAGAAGATTCGAGAAGATAGAGTAATAAATTATCATCTTAGCATTGCATGACAATTCAACACACAATGAGATGAAAAAAAAAAAAATCAATAGTGACACCAAAAGTTTTTTACGTGGGAAACCCGTAAAGTGAAAAAATCGCGATGTATGATCAAGTTAAGGATATCCACTATAAGCTGAGATTACAATTATATGTCATTGTCCCACATGAGGGAAAGGGTTACAAAGTCTACCAAATTACAACTTCGATGCCCGAAGGAACGGGCAACGACCGATAAAGATTGATGATGGTCAGCGATGGTCGGTGGTGGTCGACGGCGATCAACAGAGGTCGACAGCGGCAGGAGTGATGTTGGACTTTGGCTCGTCAAAGCTTCAAGCTCTCCTCCTCATACTGCCCCCCTCTATGAGAGGAGCGAGACTCTATTTATGAAGTTCTGAGTGCAATTAATGAAGAAATAAAAATCACTTTGATTGGATGACTTAGAGGGATTAGTGGATCCGATTACGTTTGAGTGCATTAACAACGTCAGAATTGAACGATCTTAGGCTCGTTGGTTTTGTCTTATCGGAATGCTCTATTTGACCATGTACTCGCCAGATTTGACATCCATGTGACCTTCCAAATGTGTACAGAAAGCTTCCAAAAATAGTGTAATGGTTTGATCGAGGCTCGAATTGGTTTTAATTGGATAAATATTGATACTATTTGGTTCGTTTTGTCAAGCCGGTCCGTTCGACTACAAGTTTGCTGAAATCGGACTTTTAGATGATTTTTTATCGAAATTTGAAAATATCTTCCTCAAAAAAAAATGCATCAAGATCAGTTTCATGCCTCAATATTCATGTTGGACGTTGGAAATTTGTTCATGGCATATCATTTAAAGCCCATGGCGGCCTGCGAGCCGACCCGACCATTTATTGTTCGAGCTTGGCCATGAAATTATAAATAGAATGTTATTTTGACCCTCAATTATTGAACTAAGGTTAAAGGGCACTTTGTAATGTGGTACCGCTCACCTACCACATATCACCTACCGCTCACCTACCTCCCACCTACCACTCTCTTGCTTCGATAAATAGAGAGGGTGTGAGGCTTAGGAGAGCAAGGGAAGAGATCTTAAGCTACCACAAAGGATGAGAGAATAGCTAGAGAGCTAGAGAGGAGGAGAGCATCTTGAGGTCTTATATCAAGGTGTCGCTTGAGAGGGAGGCATAGAAGGAAGATGAGAGCTCATCTTTATGTATAAGCTATGTATTCTCCATTTTTTTTGTCTTAGTGAACTATTTGATTGATTCCCTCCCGTGGACGTGGATTCAATTGGATCAAACCACGTAAACGATCTGTGTTTGCTTGTGTTCTTTGCGTTTCATTTTTATGCCATGAAGTACATATCTCACAACAATTGGCGCCGTCTGTGGGAAGATCTATACTTCTTGGCTAGAGGTGTTCGCAGCAAGCGACGAAGAAGAGGAGTTTTGCATTCACGAACAGAGAAGCAAGCGAATCGCGTTGCAGGCAGCCAAATCACGACAGATTCGATGAGCAGTGGAAGCTTTGATCGACTGGATTCACACCGCAGGTTGTGCGGTTTGGCGAGACAGAGGAGGAACAGTCCAAGAGCGAGGGCCAAAAATTTGCGACAGGACTGCCAGCAGAGGATTTCGGTCTTGCGAGCAGCTCGGCCAGAGAGAAGAGGAAAGGATCGCGTAGAGAAGGGTTCGGGGAGTTCCCTGTTCGGGAGTGCGAAGCAGGAGGACCTGAGCAGTTTGGCGAGGCACGACGGCTCTGGAGAGGCAGTTATTCTCGTGCGAGAGGCAGAGGAGGAATTCTTAATTTGTTCCACTGGACGCAGAGGAGTGCCTGCGTAAGGGAGGCACGAGCACAGAACAAGAAGTTTTCTCCGGTGAACAGGTGTGATCTCTACCAGAAGGGATCAGAGCTCTCCGTTCGGTTGGCGAAGGCATTGGAGTTCACAGGGAGAAGGTAAGAAATTTGGTGAGAATTTCTTGAATAGCAAGGCGTTAAAAGGCAGGTTTAGGCTGAAAACTTTTGGTTGTTATACAATGGTTGTTATACAATAGGTTGTTATACAATAGTACAACATTTTGGTGATTTCAGCCTAGTTCTTGTAAGGGCAACAGGTAGAATTCATTGAAAAAAAATCCTAGCCACCACAATGAGTTCCGTCAAATTTGACATTGAGAAATTCAACGAGAAGAACGACTTTAGCCTATGGACAGTAAAGATGAGAGCTCTATTGGTTCAGCCATGCTGGACAAGGCTCACAGTTTGATAATCCTGAGCCTGGGCGATAAAGTTCTGAGGGAGGTGTCGAGGGAGACAACGGCTCAAGCACTTTGGGCCAAACTCGAGGTACTCTACCTGACAAAGTCTCTGGCTAATAGGCTCTTTCTGAAGCAGCACCTATACTCCTTCAAAATGCATGAAGACAAATCCGTCTCTGAGCAGATCGATGAGTTCAACAAGATCATCGATGACCTTGAGAACATCGACGTTAAGATGGACGATGAGGACAACACACTGCTGTTGCTAAACTCTATTCCTAAGAGCTACGAGCATTTCAAGGATGTGTGCTTTATAGAAGGGGCTTCAATCTCTTATTAGAGCCAAAGAATTTCAGAGGAAGCATGACAGGGACAAGGAAGTCAGCGGAGACAGTCTTATTGTCAGGAAGATCGGATAGGAAAGATTCAAGAAATGGTCAGTACAGATCAAGGTCAAGCAAAAATGGCGGGAATCATTCATCAAGGGGATCTTTCAAGTGCTATCATTGTCACAAGGACAGTCATTTCAAGAGGAACTGCCCAGACAGGAAGAATAAGTACCAAGAAGAGCCAGAAGAATTAGGAGAAGCAAGCGTAGCCTCTGATGACTACGATTCTGCTGAGGCCCTGTGATCAAAGAATCTGAGTCTAGTAAGGAGTGTATCCTCGACTCAGGGTGTTCTTTCCACATGTGTCCTCACAAAGACTGATTCGAGACACTGCAACAGGAAAATGATGGGTATGATGGGCTGGGAGACAATAAAGCCCACAGGGTTGTTGGAAGTGGATCAATCAGGATAAGGATCAATCAGGATAAGGATGTTTGATGAGTTAAACGAGTACTGAAAAATGTCAGGAAAACTAATTTGAAGAGAAAAAACGTCCAAAAGAAATCTTATTTCTTCAGGTACGCTGGAGTCAAGTGGATGCTCGTTCAAGGCAGATAATGACTGCATCAGAGTAACTAAAGACCCTCGTGTCGTCATACAAAGAGTCAGGAAAAAAGGGTTGTACTCTCTTATCGAAAGAACCGTGATTGCTAAGTCCATGTACTGTTTGAACTTAGCAAACTCAAGCAAGGGCTGAGGGCCCCTCAGGGGCCAGGTGGAGGGAAT